TATATATATATATATATATATATAACTAATCAGCGTTCCTATAAACAGTATACATTATCTTAAAACAGAACAAAAAAATATGTTTATCGTACTATTTAAACATTTATAATCTAAATTAACATAACGTTACTAATAGGTGATAGATCTTATAACGGACAGCACAAAGTTTTTGGATCGTTTAGCAGGCAATACTGAGCATTTCAGAAATGCGATGACCATGGCTGGCTTTACTATTAGTGGTGATAATCACCCTATCTGTCCTGTTATGTTAGGTGACGCAAAGTTAGCAACAACATTTGCTGATAAAATGATGGGTATGTATATATTTTCATATAAATTATAAAATCTTTTCATATAAATTATAGAGTTTATTCTAAAGGAATAAAAACTATCAATGACAAAATATACAACAGCTATCATGTGTTATTAAAGTTTTATAATTTATTCTGTCATATTGTACGAAAATGTGTTTTTATAGAAAAAGGAATTTACGTCATTGGATTCAGCTATCCTGTAGTACCAAAAGATAAAGCAAGAATACGTGTTCAGATTAGCGCAGCACATTCGACTGAAGATATAGATCGTGCTGTAAATGCTTTTATACAAATTGGAAAAGAACTTGTGGTAATTTAATAATATATTTTTGATAACAGCACCAATAAGAATAATATCTCGTCGATAACAATAAAAAAAAAAACTGAATGATTGATTTCAATATGCTAAATGATAAGTTTCAGTTTCTCCAATATGCATTCTGTTTCATTATATAAATAAATAAATCGTAATATTAATGCTATGTGTTTAAACTGATTTGTATTATACAAATTAGATATTGCAAATATATAGTGCATGCGAATGTAATATTGAATTTATTAACACATGCAATAACAAATATCTTAATCGAGCAGTATATTAAAGGTGTACCTTTTTTTTTATACAAATTTCCAACGCGCGAGGTTGCAAGTGTATAAAAACCTTGAATTAGGTGTAAAGTGTTATATTGTTATTAAACATTTATTACATAAATGCTAAGGTTTGTACGGTATAACGAGATTTTCCGAAAATTCCCTGACCTGTTGAACTCCTCGTACTTCCCTTTCTAATAATGGAAGCTTTGTGACATGAAAATCCTCGTAAAGATCCATTATCTTAAAAGGAAAAAAACAATTTATCTTTCGAGAATTTTATCTTGTACTCTCTCTTCATCTGATTTGACAAAATAATATATATATATAAAATATTACTAAAATTTAAAAAAAAACTTCGAAAAACAATAAATTTCAATAATATCACTCATAAATACAACATTAGTTACCTGATCTAAATATTTATCTTGAATTTTATGCCTTGCAAGACACAGCCGACAGGGAGTATCTCCTTCTTTTAAAAATAATAGTTGATTTACTACAATATTATGGGTATCAATACCATATTTTGTTAATTCTTGTACAAGTCGTTCTGTCTCATAAAGCGACAAAAATTCTGCTATGCAAACACAGATAAAAGTCGTTTGATCAGGATTTCTGAACTGTTCATTAACTTGCTGAATGACAGCAAGCATATCTTCCATTTTATTAGAGAATGTATCCACATTAAAGTCCGTTAATCCCAACAATGAACTTATCTATAATAGAAAAATCTTTTTTTAATTTAAATAATACAGGAACAATATTTGATATACTTGATAAGTATTAATTTTTTTTTAGATCAAATAATGGACAAATTCTAACTTGTGTGATAAAAGGACTAATCTTCATTTTTAGACGCATTAATTTTCCCAATCCTTTTTCAATCACTTGTGGAAACGATAGTAGCCTTAACGTATGCCCAGTAGGTGCAGTATCAAATACCACAACAGAAAAGTTCATTCCTTTTACAAGCCTAGAATCATCATATAAAAATATCAAAATAAAAAACGAAAATAGAAAATAGATTTCAGATATATCTGTGATTTTAGTTTACTACAAAGAGAGCTTATTATATTATTAGTGTTTCATAAAAATGAGAAATATAAAATTGTAAATTTACTTCATAACTTCTGCATAACTCATTGCCTCATCTATACCAGGAAATGCACTGACAATTTCATGCATAACATTTTTACTTAATTTCATCGCTTCTCCTCCTGAAACTGCACATGATATGTCTAATGTATTTAATATAAAAGACACTATATAACTATAATATAATGAGTGTATAACACAGTAGAAAATTTCTTTAAAACTTTGCAAGTAATATATTATTTCTTTTACTTCAACTGCATAGCAATTATTGCAATAGTTATTACTATATATCATTTTATTTATGTATTAATTTTAATTATATATTTTATATATTTTGTTATAATATTTGATAAATTATGTTTTTTTTATTCATAATTCTAACAAAACTGTTTATCTAAAATAACTTATAGATGTTGGACTGAAATAAAAGTGTTTCAAAGACAAACCTGTTTCACTGTCAAAATATTCCTCTGGTAATTCTGTAATGCCAACATTAGGGTCAACCTCCATTGCAAATAAATTATCAAAACTCTTCACCTTAGTAGGTACTTTGCTAAATTTCTGATCAAATGCATCAGAAATATTGTGCGCTGGATCTGTAGATATAATAAGTACACTTTCCCTAACTTTGGACAGCTGTACTGCCAGGGAACAACTGCAAAACAAAGATTTAGATTAGTCTAACTTTTTTATTTAAAGAGCAGCAGATGTATATGTTGGATACATAATACAAGAACATTTACTTTATTGTAAGAAAAATCCATAAAAAAGTAGGTAGTATCAAATTTAAAGAAAAATTTAATTGGTTTATTGCAGAATATTTTTCATAATTTTACGAAAAAAAAGAAGAGGTTTAGAATATTTTGTTATATCACAATAATTATGTGAGAATAATATATATATATATATATATATGTGTGTGTGTGTGTGTGATATATATATTATATAATATATATAAAATTCATATATAATATATAATTGTACATCTAAATATATATATATAAATGTTATATAAAATTATATAATTATATATACATAATAACTTTATTAAGTGCAATGACACGACAGAAAATAAAGTAAAATTAATGGACGCAATTGCACACAGAAGGCGAGGCTGCAGCTGATATGCTGATCTGATGAGAACATACTCATTAAACGGGATTTTTTATTGATTCCCATCACCGGGATTGACTAACACGACGACATTTCCAGGTTATGTATACCTGCAGGTTGTCTTTCCGACTCCACCTTTGCCACCCACGAATATCCATCGTAAAGAATGTTGCTCGATCACGTTCCTGATGGAGGGTTCGAACTCCTCCATCGCCTCCTTCTCGGCAGTACTCATGTGTTAATGATGATAATGCGTAACACTGGGAGAAATTTAGTACATAATTCTTAATAATCGTCGCGTATGGTCGCGTAGCGTGTATATACACAGGGGAAAATATGAAAGTGAAAAGCACAATCCTATACTAATAAAGCTCGCGCACAACGTGGCGCGTCATTAAATTGCTAAGATGTATTCGTCAGTGTTCGTCCCAGTTACACCTTCTGCACTTCGTATATTTCTTGTTTTCTCTCTCTCTCTCTCTCTCTCTCTCTCTCCTCTCTTTCTCTCTCTTTCCTTTTAAAATATGTGAGCGTATATGAGTTCCAATTAAAAAAATTAGCAAAAAACGCAGCTTTTCGAAATTGTATTTATGACTTCTACTCCGATTCATTGATTAATATAACTTATTATCATTATTCATTATTAATATTAACTGACAAATATGTTATTAATTATATATTATTATATATATAACATATACAATATAAATAGAATCATTAATTTGTTAACTATTTGTTACTTAACATATGAAAAAAAATTAGATTATAGAAAAATAACGAATTATATTATATAATTCAAAATTTTGTTATACATAATTTCGCTGGTTGATTTAATCGCTGCAGATTAAATTAAATTAATTGAAGTGTGATCGAAGTCGCCAATGTTCACAGTTCACTACCAAATAGCACACTACGGCCGGTATTCATAGTCAAAGCTCAAGGCAGTGCTTAAGGTCGTCTTGGTCAAGATTGTCTTATTTAATTAAGACCGTCTTGAGAGCGTAACAATTCATAGTCACGAAATAAGACGACCTTCGAGAAGAAGTTCTTCCTTAAGTAATTCTTGTTTGATTTAAGGTTGTCTTGAC